AAAAAAAAAAAAAAAAAAAAAAAAAAAAAATACGAATAATTTATAATTAAAATTCAAATTATTTAAAAGTATATTACACGTGAAATTATACGCGCAATTAATCAAGCTACACAAGCTACAATCTTTTCATCACGCTAAATAAGTCGCGTCAACGTGACGTGATCCGGGTATTTTAAAAAACCTACAAAAACCTAAATTAATTTATTAATCACATACCCTCTAAAAAATTATCTACTAATTTTACTATTGCCTTATCATATACATCTTGTTGTGTTGATTCCGGACCAAATACATAATCGTAACTAAATACTTGTTTCTTATCAGCTTGAACAACAACTTGATTTGGCGCAGAAGTTGTAAGAACTTGACGTTGAAATCGTGTCGGTAAATTATCTTGAGTTGTGATTGGTCTGATACGAACAACTAAAGAATAAGAATTATAGAATATAAATTAATAATCGAATAGATCAAACCTAAAATTACAATTTTGAAAAGTGATGATCTCTATCGAAATAATCTTTATTAAGAGGATAATAAACTATTTTTGAGATTTTTTATTATTTAAAAATGATTCGGTTAATATACTTACCCACTTGTACTGAAGTCTTTTCTGATCCTCCTCCTGTTGAGGCCATTATTAAAATGGTAAAAAATTATACGTAAAACTTCTCGAGGGAAAAGTAATTTTTTTAAATCTTGGTCGTGACGAATAATTTAATAGTTCGTCTTTTTTATATTTACAGCTATTTTTTTAGCTAAAGTTCATCTACCAAATGGGTACGAGCCCGCTCGTTATTTTTAAAGTGGGTCAGTGGTTTATATTATTATATAAAATAAATAGAAATTAAAATATTTTTTCGTACTTTTTGTACTTTTTTTTGTTTTTAATTTAGAATTTTTTTTTTTTTTCGGTTCGACTTATCGAAAACAATAGAATAAACGTGACGCCGTATTTTTTGGTTAGGGTAAAAATAAAAAAAAAAAAATATTTTTTTTTTATTTTTTATTTTTTTTTCTTTTGTTCTTCCTGTCTCTTGAATAACTAGTCGAATTCGTAAATAACCAAAAAATAAAATTATTTGTTTTGGTGATTTTTTTTTTTCGATTTTATTTTTTATTTATTTAATATAAACTTGTGGTCAAGTTTTTGAGATACAAAATTTTTGGAGGGATATCAATTGGTGTTGACCTAATGTCTAACAAATGCGTCGAACTAATGATGATGGTTTTGTTAATTGACACAGGGGATGACATATAACCTTGAAAGAAACTGACATAATATTTGCTTATCACATGTAACGGTTCACATAATACTGTAAATGGTTACTACTATAATATTCATGATAATCGAAGAATGTGTGCATTGTCCGCATATCGGCGGCACATAAAAATAATATAGTTTATTTATTTATTGTAGGGTTCGATCATCCAAATATATATTTTAAATCCCAATAAGACCAATAGGATGATGACCTATTAATATCACAAGTATGTGACGAAAAGTAAAAAAAAAGTTCATATAGAGAATAATATACAATCAAAATTTGGGCGTATATTTCCAACTTCAGCCTTATGGAAGTCATCTGATCATCCCAAAAAAAAAAAAAAATTTTTTTTTTCCAGCAACCTAAACTCAAATATTCAAATATTTTTGAAGAGGATAATATATATTTATTTTTTTTAAATAAATAGATAAATAATAGAAACAAGTTTTTCAATAAATAAAATTTAATGCATAACTTGGATAAAAACTGGAAATTGTGAAAAAGAGAGACCTGAAATGTATAAGTTCATTATTGACATTTGACATATCTATGATATCTATGACGCCCTTTCGATCACCTTATTATGGAAATCCGTTTATTACATAGCCTAGTTTATATTTACTATTTATTATAAATATAGAGATAATTTCTAGTAATCAATTACGATTATAAATTAAATCTTTTTAATTAATTTTAGGTAAACTATATATATAAAACGTATATACTTACTTATTTGGGTTAGATCAACCTGATCACAAAGTTTCGGCTGCAATCACCCTGCATGATAATTATTTTTGTAATATCATCTGATTTGTGTAATATAAATTTCTTCTTTCCTGGAGATCATCAAAATTTAAACATTGCATACATACATTACTTTTTTACAACTTAGGGGTCTACTATCCCTAATAAAAAAAATTCGATTTTTTTTTTAATAATCTTTTTCGACCAGATCTACTACAACAAACAAATTTTCTGCAGGGGTTAAAATTAAATAATTAAAAGTCGAATAAATTAAGTTATAAAATAAAAAAAAAAAAATGATTTTAAAACGATTTAGAATAATATGTAACAATTTTTTTTTTTTTTTTATTGTTAACAGGCATATTACAAATTTTACTGTGTATATTATAAATTATATTATAAATATTTGATCTTCCATATATTTTGAATTTTTTTAGAACCTAATCGCATTTTCTTTATTTTTAGTAACGAAAAAATGGAATTTATGTTTTGCCATTAGATCTACTATAATAATCATTTCACGGAAAAATGATTTCACAATTACGCACTTGTGCTGTACTGTAAAATTACTTCAACTTTTTTTTAACTAATAATACTTTTTCTTCTAATATTTGATAGTCATCTCATCCGTGAGAAAAAAACCATGTATTGGACTGAATCATATGTCGTACACTTGTCGTACACACCATGATCATAATAACGGCGATCCTTTTTCCTTTTTTTTTTTATTTTTCTTCTTTTACTCAAATTTTGTTTCACAGAAAATCAACAAATATTAATCTGTGCCTTTAATTCGTCATGATACTGTTCTGGAAGCGCCGGTCTACTTGTTCGAAAAAATAAAATGATACAGCTGTCACCAGTAAAATTGAACCATTAGTATTAACCCTACCAAAAAAATCCATTAGTAAATAAATCTACCAAAAAATTTTGGTAGATCCAAAAAACCATAGGTAATAAAACTTATCAAAAAAACTGACAAAAATAAGCCTATCTCAGAATCCATCTAAATGAATACCAATCATTAAACCTTTTTATCATCTACATAAATAAAGCTGAAATAACAGGTCAACTGTCCAATTATGAATTGTAGTTAAATAGAATTTCCAAATTCGAATACAAATCGATACAAGCAATTTCGAACTCCCTAATTACTTCGAGTATCATCTCAAGTTTATTTGATGAAAATTATAAATATAAGAAATCATGTGCCTTTATCAACGAATAAAAATTGTCCTCATCTACTATCACTGCTTCAATCATTCTGTTAAATAATCTTAATGTAAGAGATGTCATAGTATCATTCGAAAATATGCAAACGTAATAATACAGTGTTAAATTCTTAAAAGATGATCAGGAGAAATATCAAACACCAACTATTACAATATATATTCATTATTGGGAAACAATATCTATACCTTCTTAGTAATCAAATATTAAGAAATTTCACTTATCATGCTTTATCCTTCCTCATGACTTTTACACCTTTTTAGTAATAAAATATCAAAAGAAATTTCGTACCTTACAACTCCTAACTCCTAATGATAATAGATATCAAATAATAAGCGTTACGCGTTTCTAATTTCAGACAATAGCATATTTACTGTAATTAATTTATAATGCTTAACAGTCATTAATATCATCACTTTGTTTTTATGTTTCTAATTATTTGTTTTATTAGCTTTATTAGCAAAAATTATAAATATTAAAGATGTGATAATTAATTTGAACAAATCAGTATAATAATAATCAGATGACAATACAGTATATTGTACAACTGACTTCTATAATCAAAAAGCATCATCTTTAATCAAAAACGATATATTTGCTAAGCAATTGATTATTGTTTGATATCATGTGATTATTACCAAATCTGTGCGACAATCGTTCTTATAAATATCATTGTTTCAAAGAAATCAAGAAATCTCTCTTAAAATATATAAATTATGGCAGATGGTAAGATTATAATATAGAAATTTACCAGTTTTCCCATTTAATAAAGTCTATAGCAATAAAAATTACCAGCTTTGTGCATTCTTCTCCATATAGATTATTGGCGATATCAACAACTCCATTAAAATATTGTATAAAGCTTTATCATATCTAATTTCCTATAAAAACTAATGTAATTTCAGACTCAGGAATTCGTTATTTTCCTTGTCGCGTCACGCGTTCCCAGTCTCGACAATCTAGTCAACAGTCTAATCAACTTATCTCTCAACCTAGTGACTCTAGTCAACCTTCTTCCCAGTCTAGTCAACTTTTTTCCCTGTCTAGCCAACTTACTCTCCAGCCTACACGAGAGAAAAGGCTTCACTTATCCTCCGCAGCTATTAATTCAGCAGGAGAAAAATTGCTCTCATTCCAAAAAGCACGAGAAGTAGGGAAAGAAGTGAAGGAAGAGGAAGAGGAAGGATATACAGGATCGAGGGAAATAGTTATAAAAGAAAATGTGTCTCTTGAAAAATATCTCCAATATCGTGAAAATAATGCAATTCCTTCAGTTCGCATGTATCTACATAACGGGAATATCATAATTTATGAAGTACCTTCCTTTGTTCATGGAGTAACAGCAGGACGTATTTTGGTATTGATGGGTGGATGGAATAATTGGGATTTCGCGTATGGTACTGAAGCAACCATGATTTTGGGTCCAAACACTGCAAAGGAATCTGATTTTTGGGTTCGACCAAGACATCTTCCTGACCCACCAATTGGATCAGGTCTGGGTGCAGATAGAAATGATAAGGCATATCCAACAATGATGATTGAGGTTGGTTTTTCTCAGAGTCTTCTAGACCTTCATCGAAAAACCGTTCTCTACTTTAGTCCACGAACCACAATCCAGATTGTGTTAGCCATCAAGATATTTGGAGTTCGCACAGACCCTAATACGAACACTAGTACTATTGCACTAATTGCTGCGTTATATCTTCGTACAAGCGCAACTCCGCTGATTCCAACTAGTGTCATTTCTTTTGGGACGGCAGATCCTGATGCAAATACCGTAAACTGTATTATTAATCAAATGGGTGTTCCTCCTGGTAGTTTTACTGGTGTTGGGCGTCCTGATCCTAATAACAACAATAATAACTTTCCTCCTTGTAATGCGCCCAATCTTCCAGATTATCAAATGAATATTCCTGGACCGGAATTATATAATGGGGTTCCAGTACATAGACTTCCCCCAGGGTTTGCTGCTGGATTTAATCTGGATCTTTGGGACATTCGAAATGAAATAGAAGTTGAACTTCGCATATAATTTTATAGGTGTGTACTTGGTTTGCTGAAGAAGCATAATAAAAAAAACCTATTGCATTTAATTTGTAAGAATGATGTATTTTTTTGAAATCAACTTAATCATCATCATTCATAGAATATTTTCTAGTAATTTTTTAGCTAACATTCATTTTAATAAAAATGATTATCTGTAACTTTCACTTCAGAAAAATTTGATGCATACTAAAGTTATACAAATCCAATCCCTACTCTCTTCCTTAAATAATATTCTTGATCACGTCTCTTACCTTTGGTAAAGCTAGTTCAGAGGATGCGAAACCCGTGACAAAATGTCATCAATTAGCTGAGGTCAAAGATGGCATCATCACCTAAAGAACGTTTGATTTCCATATATACTTAGGAGGGTTTCATTTAGGGAAAATATAGTGGTACGGCTACTCTCAATTATTTGTTGAGACCTTATTTTGATTCCATTTTTTTCGAGAGGATAGCACAATAACATCACTCTGATTAACGTTACAAAAATATATGTGTTCAGAATATTCGTGCTTTGCAATGCGACACATTAATTTGCCCAATAGTAGCAACTGCATTTTTCGAATTGTGCATCGGCATATTGATGATGTGATGGAGATGATAGCGGAAAGAAAGAAATCGGAGAGCTTTCTGAGGATACAATTAATAATGCATATTGTAGATAAATGTGCTAAAAGCATTCGAGTAATCCAAGAATGCAGAAACGAGCAAGCAATCAAATACATTAACGAAGTTCTTATAGACTAGAGAAAATGTACTACGAATTTCTTGAAATTTTTGTATAGTTTATGGCTACTGTCATCGATATTAGGTCTGACAACGAGATCATCGCGTAATATACTACGCAGAATTCTTTGAAATCTGGAACTAATAATCAATCTTAAAGTCACCATTGTCGTTTCAATAAAAAATATGTTTGATTAAATGATAACCTCTCATACTCATCAAATGGGTTCAAGATACTGATCGCTCGACACTTTACCATCTACCATTTTAATCTTAGTTTGTAATAGTATACGAAATCAGATTTAATTTGTATATCAATTGTGTTTATTCGTAACATAAAAATACGATATTTTTTACTTACCGGCTGGTTTGTAACTGTCTTAAGCTAATTATGATAGTCTCGAGTATTTCGAATTAATACTTGTCGCTATTTTCTTCCTTAATCGACAACACGCCCTCTGTTTTCGTTTATATATCTGTTTGTCCTCTGTTTTTCCTGATTTCGGTTACTAATAATCATGTTTTCGATTACTAAAAAATACGTCTGCTTGTCTTCTATCATTGATTACTGTTATCTATTGCTTATGTCCTCTGTTTCAATTACCACATAAAACTATATCTAAGGAATACGGTTATCGAAATAATTCACGTCTGTTAATTTTTTTTAATCAAATGCATGTCATCTGTTACGATCACTTAATAACTCCTCTTAAATAGCTCACACAAGCTATCATATACTGAAATTCAAAGTAACCATAGTACGTCCATCTGTACGAGATAGGTCATATCTGGTCATATACAATATCGACACTAGTTCAAGGATCTGACAACGTTATTTCATTTCCTGTGAAACTGAGATCTCAAAAAAAGGCGTAAAGTTGGATAATTGCCACCATATATATAAACTGTCCTATGGCACTTGATTGCATTTTACAATATCGTCTACTCCTTTCCTTTCAACAATGTTTGTTCGAGTTGTAACTAGTACGCTATATAACGCTTCCGAGGGAGAATATTTCAAACTAGGTATACCAACTGTGAGGAATTGGCATAATATTATATTTTTGTGCGTTCCATATCGTTCATATATCTGTTGTTTGAATTAGCTACAAAATTTTGTTAGCATTTATCTACTTCGCCACAATATGAGATTGTGCAACAAGTGCCAAAACATCACTTTCCAGTGGTTTTCACTTTTTCATTACAATTGGTTAATACTGATGCAATTGACTATATACTGTATATACAATGTATATATCAAAAGATGCAATCATATTGCATATACTATATAGCAATATTCTTTTAAAAAATATAATAGTAAGGGCTGCAACCTATTACTATTTATTGATTTTTCTTTTTTGGAAAATAAAAGGAAATGATTGATATACTATAATACATATTTGTATACTGTATTATAGTAATATACAAAAGTTTAGTAATAATTCATTGATTAATAATAATCTCATTAATCTCATTATGTTATGTAAAAAAATAAACAATTGTACTATTTGATTACATAATTCTAAAATAAATAATATATAATTAATAATATTTATCATAATTATAAAAAATGATACTTTACTGTAGTAAAGAATTAGATAAATCATATGTCATAACTAGTTAAGTTAAATAAGTTATATAAAGATATTATGGACATAATTTAAAAATAAATTAAATTTGCACAATTGAGAATTTGGTATTATATATTATTGTATAATTCAGTTATGTTTATTTTCAAGTCCTTTAAACACTTGTCTACCAGTAGTGGTTGTATTTCAAATATACTGAATAACAGTTATTTTACTCATTATAATACAAAAGTAGATTTCTTTTTTAACCGAAAGCAAGAACTTATCAAATTCGGAAATGTATTCAATGGTGAACCTTAACTTCATATTGTTTTAAGGCCTCCTAGTACTGGAAAAACCACCTTGATTCGTCAAATAGTGACTAAAAATAAAAACTTCTTTCCTCTTTTTATTGATGGCCGTGCAGGACAATTTGATACACCAGCAAATGTATATAATTCAATTAAATCAGAATTCAAATCATTTATTACAGCTCATAGGGATTTTTTGGAAAGGATTTTAGGAAGTAAATTTAAAATGAGTTATAGTCATTTAGAAACAGAATTTAATTTTAGTAATACCAAAGAAATTTCCTCTATTAATGTCAGAAGTTTACTTAATGATATTAAGAATTGTCTTCAACAATAGACTATTTGGAATAGTTACAATATACCTTTACCTATTTTAATAATTGATGAAGCAAACATGTTTGACCAACTTGGAAATTCTGATCCAACTCTTCTCAAATCATTTCTAAACTGGATGGTATTAAATACAATTATACAAAACAAGAAAATCGCTTTAATATAGTGCTTACCTCTTCTGATTCATTTTTTTTGAACTGGATTGTAAATCGTAAGTCCATCTTGTAATCATTTTTGGTAGTAATATAAAGGTCTGTTATCAATACAATAAACTATGTCTGTTTTAATAGAATTAAATGTCCCACATGTAACCCCATATATTGTTGGAGATTTGAGCAAAGAAGAAGCAAAAGAATATTTTGAAAAGCATGTTCTTCCTTACTATGGTATGCCTTTACTGAACCCATCTATTTATATATACTGAGAGCTTACATGATGGGTATTTTTTATTTAAAAAGAATGCAAAGAACTCGAAGGCAAATTTGATCACATGATAAAGAGTACAAAATTAATAAAGGAAAGCTTAAAGGTATTTATTTCCTTTAGAAGATATGCATTTCTATTGACTTAAATTTGATGTCATAAATAATTATTTTACAGATAGTGAATTTTCGGTTTTCAGGTTAGAAGATGATAATTTATCATTTGGTCTTAATCCTGTTAGATTTCAGGGTAAGCCTGCTCCACTCTGGAATAAGGACGATTTTATCAAAGTTATGAAAGCTATTGTTGAGGCGGAGGATCGAGGTTATATCAAAGAAATGGATTTAGTTAATGAAATTGGTGTTGAAAAAGTTAGATCACTTATTACTTATGATCTTTTACACCGTCGACCAACCAATAATTATGCTAATGACATCATTGATCCACCAAATGAAGCAATCTTGACTGCGATGAACAAGCCGTCAATACGCGCAATGGAATGTCGTCTATATGACATTGATTGATCACTTTGCTAAAAAATCAACCGAATAAAAGATTATTATTATGAATACATTTAATACATTTATAAAATATACATTGTTTTAAATTTCGAAACAAAGTTCATCATTTCTTTATTATATTTTTTATAAAGAAACATATAATAAAGAAGCCAGTCGGCTAAGTTAAGGGAGAATTTGCCGAGCCTATGATGGCAGCTCCTTCCCCGCTATTATTATCTAAGTTATTATCTAAATTACTACTCAATTCTTTACTATCTACCATCTCGTAATTAACATTACTATTCTAAACTTTGGATCCCCTACATCATAATAAAAGTTTTCCCAGTTTCTTTTCCCCGGTAAGTTCACGAATTTCACATCTCACAGCATAGTATCCCAATCTTCCTTATTCGAGTCAAAAACTCGCTTAAACGGTTCCTATTTTTCTTCAAAGAGATGACCGCATGCCGATAATATCAAATAATATATGTATGTCGATCATTTTGTCGTAGCTTTTTAAAAAACGTTTTTTATAAACTTATAATCTTCAATCATTCAATATGCACAATAATAGCTAGTTATTGAACGATATATTAAATACAAAAACAAATTGTTTGGTTTACAACGTACAAATTATTCTTATATTTGTAGTACTACTATGATTTTTCTAAAATAATAATGATAAATCTTTTTTAATCAAATTTACTGAAAAAATGACGGCAGGCTTTGCTAATACTCAATCTATTTCCGAAATCTTCAGGATGTACCTGAATATGATGGTGATTTCACTTTTTACAAATCGAAATTCCTAATCCAGTTTTTTCATCAGAAAGTAAAATAATCAGCCTGTGCAGTAACTGATAGTATTGACGAGAACATAACGGTCGGGGATGCAAACAAACTACTGATGATGTCATTATGTAGCCTCTGTCGAACATTAGGACCTAGATTGCAGCGTCGAAGTTGTCAAAGAAATAAAAACTTACAATATTCAAATAATTGGGGACCGTCTTACACTTTTTTCCGTCTCTCTCTTAGACAAAAAGAAGTTTCTTGCCGTTGAATTTGTTTCATGCTTAATTCCATTTTCATTCGATGCAATTTATTATTATACAAAAATTTTCAATTTCTTTTATGACAATTCGAACTGAATTTACAAATCAGGAGAGATTACTGCAAAAAATGTATTCTTCGGCTAGGGAAAAGGTATGGTTGCTATTACCTGATGATTACTATTTTTACAATCTAAAACTTGTACCAGAGGATATAGACTAAGTTGTTATGATATGATTATACAATTTGCATCTATAAACAACAATAGTAATAGTAAAAATAATTGCTTTGGGTTGAATCTCTCCAGAATTAAATGATTCATCATTATGCTATTGCCTGAAGAATTCAGCCAGTCGAAACTGAACACACTTAAAGTTTCGAGCGAACTGTTTTGTGATTTGTGAAACGTTTCGGAACTGGCGAAATTTCCGAAACTTAATTAAAATTGTCACGTGTAGCTCTTGATCAGCGATAATCTATGGTTTCTTTAAATAAGGGAATCAGTCCTTATTGTAAAAGAAACTTAAGTTTGATATATTAATGAAATATACCAATGCTTAATGAATTGAGTGCTCTTCATTAATCTTTATTTATTGCATATTTAGGACAAGATTGTTGCTAAAGAAAAAAATGGTTTGTTTTAATTGGAATGCTTATAAAATTCTTTTTCATAAAATATTAAAGAATTATTATAGTTTTCAAACAGATACAGAAGATGAATACATTAAAGCGGTTAATGCAAACGTAAAATGCGCATTGTAAGTAGGTTATTTTACTTAGTTTACAATTTTAAATTCCTTATATTAATTTTACCTATACTTTCGTCGATTGGTGGGGAATTTTTGATCTAAGAGAGAAGGTTTAAATCCATTTCCTGACCTTCCTCGTGCCAAATGATATTTTTCAGCGGAGAAAATCGGTCATCTGAATACTCTGACAAGAAATGTTATTAGTGAGGAAAAAAAAAGAAATTGGCAAATCAGCTAATTCTTTATTAAAAGCATTATCATTATCAAAAATTGAAAGCCTCAATGTACTTGCCAAAGAAAACGGTGCACGTGGAATATCTTGGTTGTGTATGTAGATGGAGAAAGTACTTAGTGATGTAAGTTGATTTTTATATTGTATTATTCTTGCATATAAATCTATTTTAAATTTATTTGCTCAACTTTGCAACAGAATGAACAGAATGACGATCAAGAAGAATTTCTTGAAATTGTAAACAATATAAATGATGATGATGATGATGATACGATGTATATTGAGGGATGTTTAGTAGACGCGTACTAAGACTTTTTTTATATGATTGTTTTTATTATTTTTCATATTCATTATAAACTTATATATGGGCATTGCAAATAGTAATATTTGGATTCATATATTCAATGGAAATCGTTACTCTGAAAGGACTTTGGATATGTTTTTAATTGGACCGTATGTAAAAACTCCACAAAACCTCCTTATAAAGTAAGAATTCGGTCCGACTTACTTTTTGATCATTTCAGTATATTACTAAGCATCATAGATTTGAGTTTGTAGAATGATGATGAAATTTTCATGATCGTTTCCATTTCTTGCGACCCAAGTTGTAGGCCGTGCAGGAGATTCTAGCATGAATTGTTTTGTGAGTGGAGGCGTGTTTAATGGGAATAAAATGTCGTGGCGGAACAGAAATTTACGTGGATTATGGTAATTAATTGGAATGTGACATCAGATCAATCAATAGTAGAAGGTGTAGAGGTGTAGGCAGAAATTAGGGGTATGATATAATTATTTTATGTTTGTAAAAGGTACTAAAAAAATCAAGAGACGTTTCAGAGAGTTTAATGTATCATAGGCATTGATTATATAATTGGGTTAATTATTACTTTTCGGTCACGTAGAATATTTTTGGGAAAATGTTCAAATCTATGTAAACGTCACTTCCTAGGACGAGACCGCTAATGGTAATATTCTAATCAAGAACATGATGTGTCATTGGATCATATAAATATGATGACCGGGGGGTTACTATGTCAAAAAGATCGTAAAGCAATCTTGATCCTACTGTAATTAAAAGTACAATCAAATTATAGTGCATGATATATTTGTTGTAGATGCTATGAAAAAGAAGGACATTTGTATTAAGACCTGAGACAAGGTAATAAAGCAATTAGTTGTCATACATGCTAGAAAGACAACACCACGACACGTTTATGTGAAAGATCATTATTATTATCAACTTGTATATCATCCGAATTTCCATCAAGTAGTAAAAGTAGTAAAAATAGTAACGGAAATATTCGACAAGATTTTCAAAATAATACTCTAGTCCAAGACGCAATTACCCCGGGAGATAATACTGAAATGATACACAATTACAAATAAAATTTTAAATTAATTTCATTCCACCAGTTTTGTAAATTCTTGATCTTGATTTTAAAACAACTACTTCATCACCTCATAAACTAAACTAAACATTGCATCAATATTATCTTTTTCTGCTGCTTTTTGATACCAATTAAAGAATCCCAAAACTTATATATATATCAAATGCCCAGCATCACAAAAAACATTTTTTTTTTCATTAAACCACCAAATTTATTTATAATTAATACAATTTCAAATTATATAAGATAAATGATTTCAAAATAGGTTTAATATTTAAAAGAATACTTATAATAGGCATTGATTTAGCTAAATGCTTAAAAAAAAATATTAAGAACTTATTAATAAAAAACAAGTATTAGAATCACCTAGTTTTTTTATTAAAAGAATAATAATACTAAAATATAAAAGAAAAAAGACAAATAAAAGAAAAATAAAATGAATAATTAAATTAAAATAAAAAATCATATTTTTCATATTTTTTACTATATTAAATGTATTAATTTCTATTTTGTAATTTTCCTTTTTTTTTTTTTGTTGCAGCATATTTAAATCTTTATTAGAATAAATGAGTTTATAATACATCATACAAGTGAAAATAAATTATATAAACTAATTTATTAAAACTTAAACCACTCATCATCCTAAATGTGTACACTGTCAGGTGGAATTTGGGCTATAAGAGTACTTTCTGCGCTTACATATGCATATATAGTAATTTTCTAAAATATAATATAAATAAATTAAATAATAATTAATAATTAAATATTATACAAATTACATACTATATATTAATTATTAAAGTTTGAGACCTTTAACAATTTTATTTTTCAAATTAAATTTATGGTATTCAAAATAATTTAATATCAGATTGAAGTAATAAAACTTAAATTATTGCAGTATATTAGTTTTTACTAAAAAAAATATGATTTAAAAATTATTGTACTTTATATTAAAATTTATTTTAATTAAAAATTCCAAAATTAATCTAAAGTTACTGTTAAACTGATTAAAAGTACTAGTAATGCTAATAATTAAATCAATGGAATTGATTTATCAACTTCCATTAATCATATTAACTTAATCCCATTGATCTTATTGACCCTATCAAATCTATCAATTTCAAGTCAAACTAAATCAAACTATGACTTAAAAACCTTTAAATTAAACCAAACTAAACCCTATTTATAGTCTGATTTGGTCTGATTCATCAATTTAACTTGGACTTAATAATGGACTTATTCATTCATTAAATTGGAATTTTATTATAATTTATATAGTAATTAATTAATACTTTTTAATCGGAAAGTAATTTATTTTATATAGTTTATACTATTTTATATATAACTAATTTACTTTGTATTTATCTTAAATAAATGTAAATATATGCTTTAAAATTTTATTATAAATAAACAAAATTGCATTATTAAAAAAAAATCTGGAACTTTACTTTTCTAATAATATTTAATAATTTGTTTTTTTAAGAAACTTGTATTTTATAACAAGTTTTATTAAAAAACAATCATATAGCATATAAAATATATACTTTATAATTTTTTTAATAAATTTGATAATTTTTAAATAGTTAAATATTCAATATTAAACTGCAAAATTATAAAATTATACATATAATGGTATTTCTTTAAATTTACAATTTATATATAGACATTTTAACATTTTGGCTAAATAAATCTCCATTATAGTTACTATTACAATATATAATAATATAATTTATAAATATATTTAGTTTAAAGATTAAAGTTTGTTTCCCTTTTCCCTTTGTAATAATAAAATAGGAGGCTTCAATCAATCAATTAATCATTAGCAGTTAGTAAATGAAACCGGAATATCGGAAATTCAAATTAAGACTATATATGGTAGGATAAGTATTAATATATGGTATGTATAATGTGTGTTGATCATTTAATTTGTACAATAAAAGTAACAAAGACAAACTAAAAATAAACTAGCATATAAAAAAATATATAGGATCTACGATAGTTCTTAGCCTACATATCCTGTTTAGACGATCTTGATATTACCGAATCAGGATGGGTTTGTCATTTTTTGGATATAACAAGTCATATAAATAAATGATATTATCATGCCAACAACCACTTCAGAGTTTTAAGTTTTTGATCTTCACCTTTTTTTTTTCGTTCTTTCGTTTTTCCCGCATAATTCTTTAAAAATGGGAGATAAGAATAATAAAAGAAAAAGACTTGATCCTACTTCCACCGAAAATTTTGGTAGTAAAAAGAATAAACGGGATGTAAGCGAAAAAAAGAATGAAAAAAAAAGGATAGAAAAGAAGCTTGTTGAGAAAAACGACGAAAAAAAAAATGGTGAAAAAAAGAATGCACTTCCACGAAGACCGAATGCCGACCAAGAGAACCAAAATGGATGTCGTTCTCATATTTTGTCGAACCGTCCTGGTTTATTTTTGCATTCTTGTGATTTAGTATTAGAAATAAATAACTCTGCTAAACAAAGCAGTTCAAAACAAAAGAATAAAAAAAATACCTATCTTTACACCAAATGTAAGTTATATGTATTTTTTTAATTACCTCAAATAAACGATTTCTTATTAACTTCTTGTTGTAATAGATTTTTCGGATGATGATGATGATTATGCTGTTATAGACATCATTTATCCAGGTGGACAAAGAGAGAAGTAATTTATCCATTCATTTAAAAAAATTTATTTCTTTTTTGTTATATAATCTAATTTTATATATATTAGATTTGCTTTAGCAAGTTCTACAAAGTTTGAATACGACCCCATAGATGAATTATTTAGATTTGTAGAAACGTTTATTTTTTATTTTATCGATAATGGAGTTAAAAAAGATGACGAAGTCGATGAACATTCGGATCCAAAGTCACACACTGACATTCAAAAACGGTTTACTTATTCTAAGGGCGGATTAAGAAACCAAAATTCAGTATACAGGAACCTCCGATCTTCTATAAGAACCAAACGTAAAGATAGATTCATTGAAGCCATAAAAAGCTTCAATTGTCAAATGGATTACTTAGTACAAAATAATGATCTAGATCCATTCCTTAAAGATAGGAAACCTGAGGGCTGTTTATTAGAATTTATATTAGAACAAATTTATGCTCGTTGTTGTAGCGAAACGGATTTACCGAACATTACAAAGGCTAAATGTAAATTTATTAATATTTTGAATTTAATCAATTTTTTTTTAATTTTATTTACGTTTTATTATATTAATACTTTTAGCCTTTTCTGATGCTACTTATGGTGAATTGCGATTTGCTCTTGTGGAAGAAATGATTCAAGAAGCAGGAATCAATGGAAATTCAATCTTTGTTGATTTAGGCTGCGGTATTGGAAATGTGGTGATTCACGTAAATGCTAGGGTTGGGTGTGATTCCTACGGTGTAGAGTCGAATGAAGCTCGACATGAAATAGCAGATAGACAAATAAATGAATATAAAGGCAGAATGGCGTAAGTGATTTGTTTGATTTAAAAATTTCGTATTTATAACAATAGAATTAACAAACAAAAATTTTTTATTATAAAGTCTCTGGGGATTAGATCAAACTGGTACAGTTGAAGTAATGAAAGCCGACTTTCTCAATTGCGATTATGTGGTTCGCTTGTTAAGAAAGGCGGATGTAGTTCTTACCAATAATTATGCATTTGCCTCCTCTACAAATGAAGCTCTTACAAGATTGTTCTTAGAAATGAAAGAAGGAGCAAAGATTATAAGTCTTAAAGATTTTAGAACTGGCGCTAATCGTAATGGTCCAGAATCGATTTTAAAAGTTACTAAATATTCCTATCCTCCAGACAGGAATTATGTTTCATGGACCAATGCTGACGGCTGCTATTTTGGTAAGTTAGTTCATTTTCCCGTGAATGAAAAGGTACTAGCTAAGATTCTAATAATAACTTCTTTTTTTTTTAAATATCTTAGTTTCAACAGTTAGACATAATTAAACTCGGTTGAATTATTTTTATTCATTATAATTATTTAGCTATTGATTAGAACAATTTTTTAAAAAAACAATTGAAGTGTTTTCAATTGATATTTTTACAACAGATTTAATGACTATTATTTTTTTTAAAAAAAATAATGGTTTATTTAGATATTATTATAGAAATTTTTTATTAAATCTGACATTTTCTTATTAATATTAAATCAATGAAATTTTAATAATTTATAGACATTTTTTTTTTTGTTAAAAAAAAAATTTATTATATTAATATAAATTGTTAAACTATTTAGTTACTATATACATGTCAAAGAATATATTATATATTAATTACATAGTAGTTTTTTTGCATTACAACGAATATTATTTAGGTCAATTTTTAGATATTATTATATTCATTTTATTGACATTTACAATAAATTTTACAACCTAGAATGTTGTTCATGGTGAACTTTTGTAGGCGTCGTATGTACGGTAATAATTTTAAAATCACTGAATAAACTAAATGAACCATTTGGAATATGACAATTTTTTTTATTTTTTTTAAAAAAAAAATTTAATTCCAGTCATTTAGTTGGATCCATTCTGTTTAAATGTTTAAATGTGAGATGTTGGTCAAAAATGTGAGTTTAAGATGTATATAAAGAAACAAATTTTGAAACTTACCAAGATTTATTGAAGATAATACAACTTCTTGAACAAAGATAATTTTCGGAATCAAGGAAACTCTTACTAACAATTTCTAAATCAGATAATTCGTAAAAGAACCGGCAACACTAAATGGTATGATTGGGATTACTAGTTGTTGCATCCTGCTTTACTTTATCTACCTAATTGACTAATTGAATTAATATTACTTAGTATTTTTCTGTTTCAAAAATGACAAATTTTTAGACAAGAAACTTACCTTCAAATTTACTGTTCATTATCTGTCCAGTCATCCCTTTATTGTAAAATCAATGACAGTATTTAAAAATTAAACACAAACAATATCTTCGGCCTTCACTGTCAATAAGATTATCTTCAACTCTGTATCCTTTTTAATATTATCAGTAACTCATTTTCTTCACGATAGCTAGAGTTGAAATTGGTTGTTGGACATTGGACATTTTAAAACTATTGACATTTTCCTGAAATTTGCAATTTCCTCTATGTTCCAAATATATAGGAATATCTCGCCGTTCAGTCTTCTCAAACCTTAGGAAGGGTGTGTTTTCTTTACCTTGCAAGTTCACCAACTTGTCAATGTCCTGCAAAGTATTGGTATCTCAAAATTGTCAATCCCAACGAGATAAACTACTCAAAACACGCATTAATAAATTCCATCCCGTTTTTTCTAGGAATGAGGAACAAAATTACATAGTTTATAATACATACACTACAAGTTTACTTTGAATTTTTATCAATCTTCAGGAGATCTATTTAGTTTATCTGATTCGAGTTCTCTTTCACACGCCAGCTGTGGTGATTACGGTGATCATGTGATGGGAGTAATATTGCTAACCCTAATCAATAGTAGCAAGGGGTTAGTGGATATCGTAATCCCATATATTTGATTCAAGTTAATATGCGCATTTTTTTTTTACGTTCAAAACTATTTTCGCCATTCATCGATCACTTGGATCAAGGATAAATTTCATGTTGTTAAATTATTATTAACACAGATGAATACGCGGGGAAAAAACCCTAATATTACATACTTTGAGTAAAGCCACGTTCGGAAACTCTTGCCATTGAACGTAATAAAAATATCGGGTTAATTCAGAAAAATTAATTAAAGTGATATGCACATATTTGATTCGCCGATACGTCTATGGTTTCATCATTGGTTCTATCGACTTAATTTAATTGTTTTTTACATTTATATTTATGCTATACCAAGTTTTCGCTCTTTCTCTCGAATTTTTCTGGTAAGATCATAATGTTTTATCCTACCTTCCAACAATTGAATGGATAAGGAAAGCCCGCTAAGAACATTCTTCACTTGTAAAGCCAAAAGACTTTGTTGAACTGTTTTAAGATCTTAGAAGCCTGCCAAGCTGAATAATAAGTTCCCTCATTCCATATTAATGTGTTGCCATGTTTTGCCCAAAGGGTGGACATACCCTCAGCAGTCTTAGTGTTAGCAATAAAAGACCATCTCTTAAATTCCATTTGGATTCTGTTTTATTTTGGTTTAAATAATCATCAAATGAAACCATTTTCGCATCAAATAATGAGGTTGTTGAGATGGGCCTGGTTCATTTCACCAACAATCATTTCACCGACAATTATTTACTGAAAGGTTTGACATCTTTAATCCACTTATCCTAACCTAATCCTAACCCTAATACTAACCCTAATTTCCTTCCCTAATTTCCTTACCTAACCCTAACTCTAAACCTAAATTCTCTTGTTGGCTACTATCAAGGAGGGAGGGATTTTCTGCCACCTCCTAGATTTCTGTTGGTTGCATTGTCATAAAGTTGAACTTCGATCTGTCGTTCTTTGAGCATGACGTTACCGTTAAAAAACCAAATTTTCAAATTGCAATGGAAGAAAATTTTAATAATATTGGAACGCGACGAACACGACGCGTATGATGGTCAACGCTCAGATGTACAGTAATAATCTTTACTAAGGTATGTTATTATCGATATATTCTAATTAAAATATTAAGTCAAGGCACTAATTGTATTCGCACCTTACTTTTATAATTTGTAGTAGTAGTATCAATGTTACGGGAAAATTATCGCAGCAAATCGTATTCGTATTAATATTTTTTATGACATGACATGTATATAAATATCTGGGGGCTCTAATCGACTCTAACCCTGCATATGGTACATCTCGTAAAATTATTTTTTTATATAATAGACTTATAATCTATTTAAATGAATGATGTTAGAAAATAATAAAACACTACGAGACTAGTATAATAACAACGCCCCAAATGGTAAATGAAATTCAGATAAATTGTTTATGAAAGTACTGCTATTTCTCTATATTATCAAAAATGATAGGTATCTCATGGTTAGAAAATTGTAACTTCCCTCACATGAAATGTAACAACGTACTGTTATACAAAATATGCATAATCGTTACATATGCACAATTTGCATAATCTAATTTTTTTTTAATTTATATTCCATTATCTATCTTGTTCATCAGCCTTTCAATGGTTTTTTTTACAAACTTTATTACAAAGTCTGAGAACAGAATTTCAAATGATAAATTTTACCATTTTTATACGTGAAAAGATTCAAACATCCTGAATAATACGGTATTATTTCATAATTATAATGGGGTAGATTAACACTTTTTATAGTATCTTGAAAATCTGTACGGATCAGATAATGTACATTGATTTTCTGCAAAGAATTGGAGAATTTCTTTTTATAATAATCAAGTGATTTGATTTGGTTAGAAATTTCATGATTTGTCTTTTAGGTTCATTTTCGTACACCAACTTATTAAAAAGATTTTTTTTTTTTTTGAATTTATTAAAATATATACAAAATTTCATCTTGTTTTTTTTTAATACAATAAGTTGCTAGAAACTATATGCAGAGTAAAAAGTATATAATATTTCATTTACACTTATTTTCACAAGTAATTTTGTACTTACTGTTAAAAATAATTTGAAATCCCAGCCATTTGATGAAAATTTATTCATCTAAGCCATTTGACATAACCCTATTATAATTATGGAGATTAAATAATTATGAAGGAAACAAAGTTTTTTTTTTTTGAAAAAAAAAAAAAATTTTTATCGAATTCCATTTAATACCTTCATTAATACTTCACGGCCACTTCCGGCACCACCGCCACCACCACGATCTCTTTCTAATACAAAGAGAGCATCTTTTACCGTTATTGTTGGAGCCGGTCCATTAGACGGTTGCTGTTGACCAGTCACAAATGGTCCAGTGGTGATGCTGGAGGTTGAACCTCCTCCTTGTTGAGTTTCTCCCCTTTTAAAGGTAGAAAAATTTTTAGCATTTGAAGTCGATCTTGAACGTCCACGTGATGGTCTCGTAGCAGCAGTATCGCCACCATTAATAACTGAAGTTGAAGGTACTTCAGATTGAATATCAATCATCCAACTTTTAGTTTTACCACCAGCTGCTGATAAAGCTGTCATATTAGTATTCTTTGTGTCGACTGTAAGCTTATTTATAGCTGGTATAGGTAAAGTATCTTTTTTTTGACGTTTATTACGTTTTGGTGCAGTGGTTGTCTCTGATTGATCTTTTGAATCATCTTTATCTTCCGTTTTACTATCATTTTTTAATCCTGCTCGAATTTCTTTTCTTTTACGTTCATGTTCACGATCAACTTTTTCAATTGCAAGCAATTGTGATTTCACGTCCAAGCTAACAGCTTCTTTATACATTGGTAAATTCTCACCATCACCATCGGTTACACTTGGATGATGTATATGTTCCGAGTGTATTCGATGATTTTTAGCAGCAATCATTGATTCCACTAACGATCTTACTCTCTCTTGTGTAGCAAGCGCTAGATAGGTCATCACATCAGGACTTACGCCTAACTTATGTTGCATAGCTAAAAAAATTTTAAAGAAAGTTAATTTCTTTCCCCCTTAATAAAATTTTTCCTTTAATATAGTAGTTACCTATAGATGTAACCACATTTGAGAGATTTCTTTGATCCAAGAAACTCTGCGTCCGTGAACGATCTGGAAGTTGTGTTGTAAAAGTAGATTGTCGAATTCCCAATAATTCATTTTCTCTTAAAATATTATCTGTTTCTTCCTATATATTACAAAACGTTATTAAGGAGAAATAACTAAATTGGGAGATTGACTTTTATTCATACTTTTAGGTCAACCCCAGTAAAGGTTAAAACGTCGTCATAGCTAGCCTTTTCATCAGCTGCTCCCGTTGTACCAGGTACAGCTGGTCCAGTCGACCTCCGACTTTATTAATTTTAAAAAAACTATTTAAATAAAATTTTTTTTAAAAATTAAGTCCTTTAAGAAATACCTTAGTAAAGGATTGCCTGTCTGTGTATTTACTAGAGAAGTGAAAGGAAGAAAGAAGGTAAAATGAAAGAAAACACAAATTAACAATAATAAAAAAAGTAGTCTTAAATTTTCCTTTCTTGTATGTTTTCAACATTATACTTACTACGTGGTAAAACCATTATTGGATTAGTAGTATTATATACAGTAGATCTATAACCAACGGGAGGTTGTGAAGGTGGACCCATTGGTTGACTAATACGAGGAAATGCAGACATAGTTGCAGACATAGTTGCAGACATAGTTGGATCAAGAAGAGGAATTGGTATAACCCCTCCCACAGTTGAATTACTTATGGCTGAAGTAGTTCCTATAACTTGTTGTTGTTCTAATTTAACAGGGTTTGGAGTAGTGGGAGATTTTTTCATTTTTTTTTATTTTATTATACTATTATTTTACAAAAAAAAAGATCTGCAAAAAAAAAAATTTTTTTTTTTTTTTTTTGAATGAAAAAATATCCTTTTTTTTTATATAAGAAAAAAGAAAAAAATTTTATATGGGTTAAGTGCAGATATAATAGTAGTAATGGATAACATTGTAAAAAAAAAAAATATTGAAATTGAAATAAAAAAAAAATTTGAGTTGTTTGATGAAATGTAGTTTGGGTGATGAACATATGCATAATAATGACAATATGTGAACTATGAGTAATCCGAATTTGTCCGTTAAAAAAGCTATCAAAAAATTGTATCAGTAAGTTTTTCTTTGCGTTACAGTAAATAAGAAACTTTAATAAAGAAAACCGCTAAGAAGAATAAAATGATGCGGCATAGTTAAACCGTAATAAATTAAAAGCAAAAAAGGGTAAGAAATTAGATACTACAAATTTTTGTACGATATTATATTCTTAAAAGTGGCTGGTAAAAATCTTTTATGGCATACTCGGCTTATTCATATGCATGTGACGCATCTAAATTATCTAATTGTTCTTAGAAACAATCCTTTGACATTCGATAAGAAAAAAAAACGTTTCGTATTTCGTGAAGGAAATTAGGGAAAGAAAGACCAATAGAAATATAAAATATTGTTGGACAAATTAGGAATAATTATATAATTTGTCTAAAAATTTAATGGTTTCGCTATAACAAAAATTACGGTATAAAAATAACAAAAAATAAATGCACACACGTGGATACATGCAATGTCATGTCATAACACACTTAAAAAGCATCAGCAAATCATGGTAAATTGATGGTTTATTTCTTTTTTCCCAGATTAAATTATTCGGATTTCCTATAAATGGATCGATGATATTCCGTTATTAGTACGATTTTGATTGGCGGAGAAATTTCGGCACGATACTTTTCTGAGAGCAAACCGAACTTTAATAGGATAATACATCCGGAACGGTTTTAGAGTTATTTTTTTTTATTTGGCGAAGATCAAAAAGTTTACTATTTTATTTTCTAAAATGTTAACTGGAAGGTGTCATACTTGTACTATTCAAAGATCATAAATAAAAACCTTACTTCCAAGGGGAAAGAACATAATGCACGCGTGACCAATATAAAATGTATTACATTCAAACCATTTCTTTATTATGAATTAGTAATATGTTATGTATATGCATTCTTCCGCAGTTCTCTTTATATTATAATCCAAATTCAGTTCATCACCCAAAACAAAGACACGAATGTTGTTGTGTCTGTGCAGTTTACTCAAAAGCCATAAATATCTTTATTGGTATTTTTTTTTTCTCTCTCTAAATCAATTCTCTTTGGTATCTGTCCCGCCAGCAAGCCACAAATCCATCTAACTATCATCCCAGTCTATAATTTCTTTATTTCTTTCTTTTCTTTTTTTTTTCTGCACTGTGCCTTTAAAATCAAGTTTATTAACAAGATCTTTTATAAAACCACTATTATTAAAAAAGTATTGAGCATCATTTAATAATTTCTTCTTCGTGGGAGAGAACCTTATCAATCATTACTTTTCTCCGCTGCAAAAAATTTAAAAAAATTAGTGTTACCGACAAACACTGCGGAATCTTTTATTTTGTGTTATACAATAAAAAAAAACTTCTTAATGACTTACATCAAAATTTTTTTTTTGTGAATATCTCCATAATACAAAAATATACATATATTTTTTTACCGTTTTTTTAGCTTTTTTATTTTTTTATTTATTTTTATTATTTTTTTTAAAAAAAGTAAATTATAATAATTTTTTTAGTAAATACTTTTTCTTCATTTTTCTTTCCCACTAAAAAAAATACTTTTTGTCGTATGTCTTTGTTAACAATATTGGGCAAAAATAAGATTCCACTAAAAATTTGGCTTTTTTTTTCTTAGTTTACCCTTTTTATTACATTATATTTCTTTAATTACCCCCAATTTTTTCGTCCCCCCTTTTTTTTGGTACTTTTTTTGTGAAGTTCATGATTTTTTCTTTTTTTTCTAAGACTTTTTCTCGAGATCTCTTCATAAAAAAAATAGACTTTCTTTTTTTTTCAATAAAAAAATAAAATAAAAATAAAATACGATGCACGAAGAAACAGCCCGGAGGCCGTTCATATCGCGTTCTTTACCTGGTGAACATACCGCACCAAATAGTTTATCTGCTTCTTTACCTAATACAACAACAAATAACTTTTCAGTTCCAACTCAACAAGTTAACACCACAACTTCAAATATTTCGTCTCCATCGTCTTCTTCTACTTCCGTTCAAAATAACAACAATAACAACGTTAATAGTACTAATATAGCTGAAGATAATTTTGCTAAATTGAGAAGAACTCGTAGAAGTCTTTCAACTTCCTATTCGAGTCAAAGTTTACTTAAGAGGTCCCTTTCGATAAAACCTCGTGCTCAATCAAATCTTTACCCCGCCAATAACAGCAATAGTAACAACAACAGCAGTAACAACTCACCTTCATATCCCCCAACACCTACTGAAAGTGATGCAAGTAATAGGTCTTCTTTTGAAGACTTTGATTATTCCTCTCCTAGTACTCCTTTTACAGTAACAAACTCAGGTTCAACTTCTAGTAGTAGTTCTTTAAATTCTCCTCTCTTAGCTTCTTTTTCATCTTCTGATACTTCACCGATAAACCAAACCGCTTTTCCTTTTTATACAAGAGAGAGACACCATTCTTTATTTGTTCTTTCCGGAAAATCAAGTAACTCATATTTACAAGGAAATCAACCATTATCGAATACTTCAACGACTAATGGTCAAATTTATAATCCAAACCAAAATTCTTCCTCGATTGTACAACCACAATTTTCTACTTCAATATCACAGTCTCCTTCTTCTTCCCTATTACAACAACAACTACATTCAATTTCTTCAGGTTCGAATTCAGTTTCAACAACGGGGGTTAGTGGTGGTGGAAGTGATTCATCTACTGCTACTTCACTCTGTCAACAAAAATTACCTTTACAACCTATTCAGCGTCGCCCAAGTGGTGCTAGTTCGCAACTTAAACGTTTGCTAAGTATAAAATCCGAAAATTATCCTTCAAATCCTACTTCATTATATTCAGATTCTGAAACTGATTCTATAGAGACTGATTCAGATGCTTATTTTACAAATGACGAACAATCTTTTGTTTTCCCTTCTTCGGTAAAAAGAAGGCCTTCTTTTCAAAGATCTCCCACTCTTAGATTTTTTCCTGATTTGTCCGTTGATGCTGAAGAAAATCATTTAAGTAATCTACATATTATTGATGAAGGTTCCCCAGAATTTACTATTCCTAAAGTTAAACGAAAATTATTAAAGGATCTTGAAGAAGCAAAATGTCGTGCTGATAAAAGTATTATGATAATATTAGAAAATTGGTACCAATCACATCAATATCAAGAATTATTAAGTGAACTTTTATATGACGGTTGGAGTGATGATGATGATAAACAATCCTCTCATATAGCTATTCGTAGAAATAATTCTCAAAGGACTTTAAGTAAATCTGTTGGTGGTAATAACAATAATAATAATGAAGAGAATGGTGGTGATATTCAAAATAATAATAATAATTCCACTTTAATTAGTGATACAGACGATGAAGCTGCTTTACCGTCAAATAATAAAAAATCATTGGTTTCAACAAAATCATCAATATCAAATGCAAAAAATAAACAATTTATGCATAAAATGGAGTCTATGTCTTTGCATGGTGATGCTAAACCTAAAAATATTCTCTTTAATCAAAGAAAAACATTTGAAAGGAGATTAATTCATTCAAATAGTTGGCCCCCATCTATTTTGAGTAAGTGTTTTTTTTTTAAATATTTTAAAGTGGATATACACAAAGAGGGGGAGAGTACACAAAAGGAAGGGATTCTCATAATTTATTCACTTTTTTGATATTTTAAGGAGATGATTTGATCACCTTTTTGTTGTTGTTTTTTAATTATGAATTGAATTTGTAAGTCGTTAAAATTGAGAAATTTTACTGCTTTAATTCAGGCAGGTTATGATAAAACAGAAAAAAAATTTCTAAAAAAGGAATTAAAGATTCTCTTAGAAAATAGTTTTTATTTTAAATTTTTCACGGGTTAATGGCACGAGGAAAAAAAAATTAGAATATTAATGACAACGATTAATTTTTGTTTCTTTTTTACTCTATTATTAGCATCATCACACACTCTCTTGTTGACTCGAATTGACCGAATAGCCCGTCGCATTTTAAAAACGGCAGTTCATGATTTATTACATTTTAATGTTGCAGTGGAAATCATGAAAGAATTACAAGAGCTTATGGAATCACAAAGAAATATGGCTGTAGGAAATGCGGATGCTGAAGAACTGCTAACGAAGTTAGTTTATGTCTTTGCTGATGTTACAAGAGCCGTAGAAGCAGTTGTAAGTTATTAAAAATATCGTAATTAATTACATGTTTATACATTTAATAAAAAATTTTTTTTGCTTTTCCTTTAATAGAACCATTCATATGCTGAAACAAACCCGGAATTATCTGGAGATGGTGCCAACAAAGATGATTTGCCGACTACTGGATCAGAATGGTCCAATTCAAATCCTTCTCCTCTTCCTTCACCTTTACTTCCATTGACTCCATCGTCGTATTCACCTCCGCTTTCGTTTATAAACGAAAAAAGAAGATCACAAAATGAAATTACTAATGCAAAATTTAATAGTAATTCATTATTACCACCGCAACAACCACCATATAGCTCACCACTAGCACATCACGTCTCTACACCACCAATTACAAGGCAGCATCCATCATTTAGAGCTTCACTTGAACAAAGGCGTGCATCAGCAAATGAGGCTATATTTGAAAGCCCTATAATGTACGTACCTCCTCCTCGTCCATGTATGGACGATAATTTATTAACTTGGAGTAGCTTAACTAGAAGACAAGTTGATCAATTGCTTCACGAGGAGATGAACAGAGAAATTGACTATGGCATTATACTTAAAAAACAACAAGAGGATGTTGAACCTGATTCGAGGAAAAAGACTAAAAAGGTAAAGAGATTATTGCTGTTATTATTTATCATAAAAAGACTGCGGTTGGGATTATTGTATCGCCCACCAAATGATATAATTTTAACTAAATGTACTTGTATTATTGTTACTTAATTCTTTTTTTTTATATATATAGTCAAGACCAGTTATCAACTTTTTCAAATCATTAAAGAATGCATTTCATAGTCCGACATCATCAACCAGTGTATCTCCTACAGGATCTCCTAGTCAATCTAGTCCTATGCGTAATGCGCATTTACCAAGGCCGCCACTACCGGAAAAATCTCGATCACTTTCTTTTGATTCACATGCTTTCAAAACATTGTCGAGACAAAGTTCTTCAATATCATTGAAAGGTGGCGAAAATCATCATACTCCTGCCCCTTTAGTAGCAAGTAGTGTACCTAATACGACAAATGCAGGATTTTCAATACCACATGATTATATACTTTGTCGTATTTGTGAAGAAATGATGCCAAGCCATGAGTTGGATGCACATTCTGAAATTTGCGCAATCACCACAGATTATGCTATTAAATTACAAGAATGTGATGGTAGATTACGTAGGTTATTGGGTGATGTAGCTAAAAGAAAAAATGAGATACTGGTATGAATTCATTCATCGTCTTTACTTTATTATCTTTTTTTATTGGGAAATTTAAGTTTAATTTCAAAATTTTTAGGAGCAAAATAACCCTTATAATGATTATTACAGTGTAAAAGATGCCGATACACTAGGAGAAATTGGCTTAAAGTGAGATGCTCTCTTTATAAATTTATAAGTTACCTTATTTTGATTTTTAAAATTTTGAAATATTAAAATATTTTACTATTTTTATAGGGCTGCTGAACTTAAAGAAACATCAAATCGTCGTGATACTCTGCGAAAAATCGAAAAGTATTCAAATAAATTAGGACGATTAGTCGATGAAATGGAAAAAAACGCTAATAGTGATGAAAATATCTCGATTTACGCTAAGAGATTACTCCACGTGGTAAGTAGCACTTTTTTCAAAAAGAAAGAAAGAAAGAAAAGAAGGGTTTTAAATAATTATTCCTTTTTTGTTAAATTCAGGTTCAAGAGAAACATGAAACTCTCCGATCCTATTATCAAAAATTACGCTCAACAAGCGCATTGTCGAATGCCGGCACATCATCCGCGATTGCCGCTGCCGCAGCAGCAGCTGCTGCTGCTACTGCTGGAATTGAAAGAGAAGGTTTACGTATACCAGCAAAAGTTAATAGGAAGCAATCGATGTCAAGTCGTGTTTTATCAACTTCAGCAACAAACAAAATGTCGACAAGCTATAAATCAACAAGATCTGATCGTAATCGCAGCAATAGTAGTCATAAAGATGGTAGTACTGCGTCATCTCATAAACGACAAGACAGCAACGGTTCAATGTCATACGGTAAGATGCATCTTGAAATCGGTATGATATAATTTTATATTCTTTGTTACATAAAATTTCTCTTTTTCTTATTAAAGGCAAGGTGATTAACAAATACTTTTTTTTCGTTTACTTAAAATAGATTCCGACATTCCTCCACCACCTCCAAAAGGTGGTAAAAAATTAATATCACTTTTTGCAGCGATGTTACGTGGAGGAAATAGTCGTGGTTCAAATCTTAATTCACCCCTTAATAAAGATTCTGTAACACCCAGTACACCAGTTACAAATGGAGAAAAAATAGGATCAAAAACTAAAATACCAAGTATACAAGATTTCGAAATTATTAAACCAATCAGTAGAGGCGCATTTGGTAAAGTTTACTTAGCAAGAAAGAAAACTACGGGAGATCTTTATGCGATAAAAATCCTGAAAAAAGTTGATATGGTACGTAAAAATATGGTAAATCATGTATTAGCAGAACGTAGGGTACTTAGTCTGTCAAGAACTCCGTTTGTCGTAAAACTTTATTATGCATTTCAAAGTCAAGATTACTTGTACTTGGTAAGTTACTGTGGGAAGTTATTAGAGATTGCAATTTAATGATTAGTGTATTAACGTGAACTTGTACAAAAATTTTGTTTTTAGGTTATGGAATATTTAATTGGTGGTGATTTGTCATCATTGCTTCAAAATTTTGAAAGATTTGAGGAAGAAATGGCAAAAATGTATACAGCGGAAGTTGTATTAGCTCTTGAATATTTGCATAACAACGGTATAACACATAGGGATTTAAAACCTGATAATATGCTTATTACATCGGAAGGACATATAAAGCTGACAGATTTTGGATTATCAAGAATATCTATACCAGAAAAAAGTTCTTTATCATTTGTCAAAGAAAGTGATGGCAATGATAAAAAATCGTTTGCAAAAAGTTTAAGATCAGGCAGCATAGATTCGAGGGCGGTTACATCTCATTCACGTCCAGTATCTGCAGTATTTCCAAATGAAAATCCTAAGAAAGTGGGACATGTGAATTTTCATGGATTAGATAATGGGAAATCTTCACCGAAATCAACAATAAATGATAAACCATCGACGAACAATGCATCAAAATTATTCAAAAGACAAACTAGACAAAGTTCTAAAGCTTTATTAGGAACACCAGATTATCTTGCACCAGAATTATTACTTGGTATAGGACATACAACAGCTGTTGATTGGTGGTCATTAGGAGTATGTTTGTTTGAATTTTTAGTAGGATATCCACCGTTTAATGACGATACACCACAATCAATATTTAAAAATATTTTAAATCATGATATACAATGGCCACCTGAGGGATTTTTATCAGCAGAAGCAAAAGATTTAATAACAAAATTATTAAATCAAGATCCTGAGAAAAGACCTTCATTATCAGAAATTAAAGCTCATCCTTTCTTTAGAGATATTGATTGGGATCATATAAGACAACAACCTGCACCTTTTGTGCCAAATCCTGAGGATGAACAAGATACGAGTTATTTTGAAGCTCGTAATAATCGAGCTGATATTAGAAGATTATCGTCAGGTAATATTGATGATATTGCTACGGGAAAAGTAACTACACCAGGAGATCGTAGATCTGGACTATTCGATGATGATGATATTGATATAATGAACGGTTTTGCTAGTGGAAATGGGAATAGTAACGGTAGCAATAACAATAATGCGGGAACACCTAATTTGTTATTACATACTGTTACTGCTGAACCGATCGAAAGTCTACCTTTAAATTCAGGTCCTCCTTCACCCTCTCGACATAAACCTGATTTAACTATTAATACGCATCTTCGAGAAAGACGTCAATCTTCGTTAAAACCACCATTACCTGTAGAAGAAGCACAACAAATACCCGTAAAACCACAACAAAAACGTAGGCCTTCTTTATTAAAATTAACAGCAGGTAAATCACGGAAGCCTTCAATTAGCAGTGGTACAAATGATGGAGGATTATTATCATCGTGTTCATCGTCCGCGACCCCTATCACATCGACAACACAGCCTGCTTCTGCGTTAGTTTCACCATCAACATTTAATCATTCAAGACGTTCAACAATTGTCGGATCACCAACGTTATATGATTTAGAACTAAATGCTGGAATGTACGATGCTGATAAATTACATATTGGTAGCCAGCCAAGAAATACCCGAATCAATGATTCAGACTTTGACGCCTTTGTTTACAAAGGTGTTTCATTTTTGGGCGATGTAAATAGAGATGTATTATCTTCTGGTAATAATACTAACAGTAATAGTAGCGTAGGTGGTAGTAATAGTGGTGCTAGTTCTATGAAGAAATCTTCGATCGCTGACCTTAAAGATGCGCATTAAAAAATTGCATTATTAAAAAAAAGTTTATGGAACAATGGACCCTTTGAATCTAAATAATGAGGAACTGAAAAGAAAAAGTTTTGTTAAAAAGGCGGGCCTATCAAAAAAAAAAAAACTCTTGTAATATACAAAAATGTTTCTTTTTATAAACAATTTTTCTCTTTCTTTTGTCAAATATTTTTTNTTTTTTTTTTTTTTTTTTTGTAATTTGGTTATAATGGTGATAGATATATTTCTGTATGTAAGTGTGTGTTACTTGTCCTGTAGTACCTGCCTCTTTTCCACAATTTTTCATAAACATCATCACTCTAAAAACAATTTTGTATATCAGTGGTATTAATATTTATTTATCCTTGCATTTCACGTGTTTTTTAATTGAATATCATTAGCTTTTGTATTAGTTTTTATTATTGATTTTAGGTATATTAGTAGTTAGTTAGTCATTAGTTATGGATTTGACTTTGATGATAAGAGATTTGTTGAAAAAGAAAGTTTTCAAAAAAAGCGATAAATAAAAACAGACTTTTTGTAGTATAGCCTGTAATTTTAAAATCAGTAGTTTGTACAATATGCAAGATTATTAAATGATATCTTCTTCTTTTGATTCATTTTAAGTATATATACAATATATATCGATATATATTTAACAATTCAGTTTGAGGACTGGTATAAAAAATTTTAATGTTGGACAAGGTCAAAGATCAACATTACATACATATTGCATTGTAAGAAGATATCAGATATAGAAATATACCCGTACTAGTTAATTAGATATGCTTTCCGCCAAGAAAAAAAAAATTGTCTGTTTAGAGATATAGAAGAGACAGACCAAAAAGAAGCGAAATTCGGAAGAATCTAAATAGAGCCATGATCCCAAACACCAAATTGACCTAATTGATCAGCAGGAAGACAAAGGTATCTGCTATGGATTTTATGGAATTATTACATTTCATAAATAACGGTTATGGGAGTTTTTACTAATAAAATCGAAATAAACCCTTTTTGTACAAGAGAGATCCTTGTTATAAAGTAATAAAACAGAACATTTTAGATAAAAACCTTTAATATAAATTGATGGTTAGCAGTTTTTTATTAAAAGTTAAAATGCGGAATATAAGCTAAATGATATGTCGCGCAATTCAACCTATCACGTGACAATCGCGAAATAAATTAATGAAATAACGATGTTAACGATGTTAACACGACCATGCACGTAATGCAAAATTTTAAGATCGCGTTATTTAATTTTTACATGAATACTTGACCGACGTCTGACGATTAATAACCTGACAAACAAGTGAAACAACCATTTACGACTAACCTGTTGTTGTTATGTAATAGAACGCAATTTGCAGGTATTAGGCTTGTAAATCACAATAGTTGCACAGCCATATGACAATTATGATGTTCAGCCCGCCGCAGTAAAGGGCGTCTGCAAAACGCCTCTGTAGTCTGTAACTCAATTAATGCACGTGATATTCGTGTTATCGTGTAAACCGTGTAAACGCGGCATCGCGGCATATCTAAATTTGGTGATCCCCGTTACACATTTATTTATGTAGTACGAATAGATTAATAATCTAAAGGATAGAGTCTTTGATGAATCCTTAGTTGATGAGCAGATGGAAAGTGAATAGCAAACATGTACAGTATGGCAGTATGCTAAATTAAATTATTAAATACTACTTTTATACTTTCTTCATTATCAAAATTTTCTAATTCACTGCCAAATTTTATAACAATTGATTTTTTTTAATTTAACCAAATGAACGTGATAATTCGAAATTATATAAGGAATGGATAAGCGATTGAAACCACATTTTTTTTTTCTAAAAAAAAAAAAATTATTTTTTTTTCTTATTTGAAACCCTATAATTATAGACTTATAACGGAAAAAAGAAGGATAGAAAGGGTAATTCGTATCTTAAGTTTCTCAAAATCTCGCCAATCACGCGAATACCCCAGTAAACCAATCATATAATTAATTATTTCTATATTGCTTAGCCGCGAATTATCTGTTGTGTAAAAGCCTGTGATGTTATATAACATGACGTACTTTTTGGTTTAGTCAAACACATAGTCTTCCAAAATCAGATTATGTTAGGTTTTTTTTTTGAGGTTCATCATTCTATAGCTAGACTTTAAGCCTGTCTTGTCCTTCCATGCTCCATCCCTTATTTCAATATTATTATTCAGTACACTAATTCGTATTTGCCGACCTATCCCTTCCCTTTACTAAATCATCGTACTATTCTTTTTTTCAAAAAAAAAAATAGACGCAAAGGGCCGAAAAAACTTTTATTTCTTTTTTGCGAACTTTTTTTTTTAAACCCTTCTCTTTAGACAGAGTAAAATAAAATAAAAAAAAAACTTATATTAAATAATAACGATAATAACAAGAACGATAAAAAAAAAGTTCCGCTTCAAAGTTTTATCAGTCTCGTGTTATTTATAGGAAAATATCTTATATTGAGAGTTTACTACTTGTTCATAATTTAGAAACTTTTACAAAATTCAAATAAAAGTAGTAATAGTAAGGTTCTTTTTTATAAATCTTACACTCTCATCTTTTTACTTGAGGTTATTATTTATATCTTTTCGAGACAAAAGAACTTTTATTTTTTTCCCAGTATATTTCAGTGAAACTTAAGTTTATACTAGTAGATTTAGGTTTTACACTTCGAAACTAATAATGAAAAACAGCAAAGCTTCAACTTTTAAAGTTGACACAAATATCGTTTCTGAAGGCTGTCAATCACCTTCGCCATCAACGCCAATGTCAGCTTCTATTCCTCTCAACTCGAGTAAAAAGTCTTCGACATCCTCTTCAAAAGAGAACCTTACTTCTCAATTTAGATTACCTACTGTAGCTAACGTTTCTTTGGCTCCTACCACAACAACTACTGTGGTCACAACTACAACTACTACGACAACTTCGTTTCCACCACTAATATTGAAACCACCACCTCTACCAAAACATTTAGATCCTAAAGAATATCCCCTTGCTGATACTCCCACTCCTCCTGCTTTAAAACGGTTTTGTTTTGATTTAAATGGTCAGCCAGCTTATATTCGCGAGGATGAAGATTCTGAGCAACAAATAATCAAGGTTAGGATTTGTTCCAAAATTTAATTATTACTATCAAGTTTACTTTATACCTTAATTGTGATTTCAGAAAAAAAAATTTTTTCTTTTGTTCCATGTTTGATGGTATCTGGTATATATCCACAAGAAAAGTTATTTCAAGTTTGAATTTTATTAACTTTAATATTTATTTTATTTTATATATTGATTGTTACACAAAATTTTCGCGTTTTTAATATAAAATTTAGCTCCAAGAAGCCCTATATAATATGCGAGCATCCGGGCCCACTACTTCGACATCAAGGACGGTTAAAACTAGTACGAGTTCCACTCATCAATCATTTAATGATAATTATTCGGAGACTAAAACTACAGGATCTGGTGCTCGTAAAAGACCCGCATCACCTGACGAGCCTTCATCGTTTGATTTATCTTCTGCAGGTCAGCAACAGTCAAATAGCAGCAGTAGCGGTTCTCATGGTAGAAATAATTCGCTTTCTCGTAGGTCTTTATCTCCGCCACATAAAAAAGTTCGTGCAAAAGCTGTTGGTAATTTACCAGAACAAGACAACGAGCTGGCCTCACGACAATTGATGGAATTAGAATTTCGTAATGCCAGTTCCAACCAAGTAAATATACCAAGAACAAATACCCCGATGAGTAATGTTCAGAGTGAATTGACTCTTCAACCAACTCCTTCCACAATTACTTCTACAAGGCACTATAATAATAATATATCTGCTTCAAACCTTGGAATGGATACTCCTTCTACTGCAAGAAGCACTCATTCCTCAGCTTTACCGTCACCATCTCTGTCCCCTATCATTGGAGGTTCTTCCTCAAATGGAACAAATCAATTTGATAATTTCTTTGCTGACCACACGGGCCACGAAGAAGCGGACAGTGATGACATAACTGTTGATGAACCTGTGAATCATCATGAAAATTGGAGTGTTCAGCAGACAAATAATATGATGATTGATTCAATTAATACTCCTAGTCTTTGGGATTTGAACACCATGTTGGCCACATTTGATGCCTTACCATCTTCGATGAAATCTTATATGCTTTTCCAACTACTTAGACGTTGTCGTACAAATACCCTTCAATACGTTAGTAATATTATTTTGCCTGCATTAAGAAAAGATTTTGTTGGAATGCTCCCACTTGAGCTTAGTTTACACATTGTAAGATATTTAGATGCACCTAGTATGTGTAAAGCAGCTCAAGTAAATAAAAGGTGGAGAAATGTAATAGATGGGGATAGTTTAACATGGCAGCGTCGACTTATGGCAGATGGTTTTGGTGTTGATGAATCAGAAGAACAACGTGCTATAGCCGAAAATTGGGGACTTTTACGTTCAATAAATAGTTCACATAATAGAAGCAGGCAACTAGACGGTACCAGTAATAATAATGAAAGTGGTACGTCATCTTCTGAAGAAAGGACTGTTGTAGAAATTGATGATGATGACACTGATAACATGAGAATTGTTACAGAAGAGAATAGATTAGAAGGCTCATCAAGATTAGCTACTACATATAATCTTAATGATAATAATAATATGGCTGTAGATGATATGGATTATATAATAATCGAAAAAAATAATAATAATAATGCGTTAGAAATAGATGAAAATGATAATGATGGTTTACAAGATTCATACACACTCTCACCTACAGGTACTGATGAACAATCTTCTTCAACAGGTGTAAGCTCTTCATTGTTCGTTAATTCTTCAATACAACAAGACAAGGGAAAAGCCAGAGCAGATGGGGATTGGAGTAGTTTTAGAGTGGACGAACAAGAACCTCATCAAGATGATGATCGTCCATATGACGGTGACGATAGTGATGTTGACGCAATGTCTCAGGAAAGTAGCGACCGAGCTGAACTTTCTGATGAAAGGCTTCCTCTACCGCCTTCAGCTGACCACCCTTTTAAAGCTATTTATCGTCGTCATTATCTTATGCGACAAAATTGGCTTCATGGACGTCATAAACACATCTCATTTCCTGGTCATGGAAATAATGTCGTTACTTGTTTACAATTTGACTCCGACAAGATTATTTCAGGTTCTGATGATCAATGTATCAATGTTTATGAAACCGCTACTGGTAGATTGATTAATCGACTTATGGGACATGATGGAGGTGTATGGGCACTACAATATGTAAATAAAACATTAGTATCAGGTTCTACAGATCGAACTGTACGTGTTTGGAATCTTGAAACTGGTGAATGTACTCATGTATTTCCAGGACATACTAGTACCGTTCGCTGTCTCCAAATTATAATGCCACAAAATGTTAACACTAATCCAAATGAACCACCCATTGTGGAACCACCAATTCCGCTAATCGTTACTGGTTCAAGAGATTCAACTTTGAAAGTCTGGCGTCTACCAAATCTTGACTCCGATCCACCATTTCAACCTGCCATCCCTTCATCACCTTCCGATAATACGCAATATGCTGATAATCCTTATTATCTTCGTACACTTTCTGGACATACACATTCCGTTCGTGCTTTAGCGGGTGTTGGTAATACTTTAGTTAGTGGCAGTTATGATTGTTCGGTAAGAGTATGGAACATTATGACCGGTGATTGTGTTTGGCGATTACACGGGCATCAACAAAAAGTGTATTCCGTTGTACTGGATGCTAAACGCAAAAGATGTATGAGTGGTAGTATGGATGGCACCGTAAAAGTTTGGAATTTAGAAGATGGAACAAATATATGGACATTGGAAGGTAAATATTGCAAAAAAAAAATTGTATTTATCAAGAAGTCGATTTGAACATTTTTTATTGACGTGATTTTTTCAATAGGACATTCTTCTCTTGTTGGTCTTCTTGATCTTTCACATGATTATCTTGTTTCTGCCGCTGCCGATTCAAGTCTCCGTATTTGGAATCCCGATGATGGCACATGCAAACATGTTTTAACCACACATTCTGGTGCAATTACATGTTTCCAACATGATGAAAGTAAGGTAATTTCGGGTTCGGATGGAACACTTCGCATGTGGGATGTCAAGACTGGCCGTCATGTGCGTGATTTATTGAATGGTTTAAGCGGCGTATGGTGAGTTGAACGTTTTAATTAATTTTTTTTATTTTATTTAAAACTTTTTTAATATTTAATCTTTTATTTTACATTGAACAACAGGCAAGTCAGATTTGATGAACGTAGATGTGTGGCTGCTGTTCAAAGAAATTCAGTGACTTGGTTTGAAGTTTTAGATTTTGGTGTATACGGAATTGAGGAAGATGGATCACAAGGAAACAGTTGCATGGATGAAAATGGCGTTTGGGTTGATAGAAGGATAGTCGTACTGAACGGTGGTACTGGTGAAGAATAATAATAGAAAAATTTTAATAAAAATATTAAAAAATTAATATGATGTACTAGTGTAATGAAATAATGAAATTATTTTATCATAATTTGATAATTTTTGTTAATATTTTAATTACTTACACTAGAAGGCTTCAAGTTATTTATACTTGTTTCTATATACAAAGACTTATGAACTTGAAAATTTTTTATCTCAAAATTCTTGACATTTATATTTTATTCATCCTTACTTTTAATTGTTAAATATACTCATCTATTACTACTAAGTTACACTAAAAAAAAAAAAAATTTTTTTTTAGAGTATAATATATATAGTTTTTTTGAAAAGTTTGTAAGATATCTATATCTATTCTAAAATTATGCATGACTTTTTTATATTTTTTACTTTGAAAGTATACCTTGTATTCTTGTATTTTATATTTTTTCTTATTTTTTTTTACAAAAGCTAGAAAAAAAAAAGTATTATCTGTGAAAAATTATTATAATATTTATAATTTATGAGAGGTATGATAATTGAAAATAAAATTTGTATTCTTTTTTAATAATTATTTATGTAAATATCAAAAAATTTATTTTATTTTAGTACTAGTAACTTTTTTTTTTATTTAGAGTTTTACAAGATGATCTGTATTTGTTTACATCGGGTATAATACTTAAAAAAAAAAAAAAAAATAAACACATTTTTGTGTTTCCAACAGTTTCAACGTAATTGTTATGGTAACTATGGTAACATTTTTTTTACTATTTAACTTTTTAAGTTTACGGTAAGGCAATAAACATAAACAATTCCGATTTACAACAAAATTTGGGCAAAAAATATACAGTATATAACCTGTCTCTTATACACATCTAGATGTGTATAAGAGACAGATTCTGCAGTTTTTAATTTGTGCAAAAAAAAAATATATATTTTGAATAATTACAAAATAATGAATTGTTTCCAAAAGGACTACAATAATAAAAATAATTGATTCTATTATGACTTTGAACAATTTGAATAATAATGTCATTTAAATATATATATAATATTAATGAAATGAATAAAATAATTGATCATTTGAATTTCTTCTTCTGAATAAAAATAAAAAGGATTGATTAAAAAATATGCATTTGAATTAATAAATTTTTTAGGTTGTCAATTAAAAACCTAATCTCATCATTTGCTTAATTCATTAAACAAAAAAATTTTTTGTGAAATTTTTTTTTTTAACTAAAATGTTTTCATATCATTTTCTTGAATATTCTCATTTAATTTCTGTACATCTTTTTGATTATCATCAATAATATCTTTAGTATCTACACTAACACTCATTTTGTCAAAGGTAGCAAAGTCCATATTATTTCCTTCTTCACCATCTTTTAATTTTGATAATGTCAATGTATCTGTTGATTCTTGTTCATGTGAATTATCAATAACGTTTGGTTGTGAAGTGACTGAATTTAAATCGTTTTCGTGTTCATCCTTAACATTGTTCACTGAACTATTAATTTCTTGAACATTTGTGATAGGGGATTTTGGGTTCATGGATGAAACTTCTGTAGATACCTCACTCGTACTTGGGTTTGTAATCGTAGTAACAGCTGCTGTTACATCATCAGAAGTTTGTGTTGTATTTGATACTTTAAAGCCTGATTGAAAATCTGCTGACCAATCGGCAACGGTAAGAAGTGGCTTACGATTATCTTGCGGCCAGCTAGGATTATCCTAATATAGAATAAATGTAAAAGTAAACAAATTAGCTAAAAAAAAAACAATTATTAATAGATAATATTAGTATACTTTAAATAGAATTTACCTCATCATCACTATCACCACCTAATTCTTCATCTAAACCTAAAGAGCGGCGATTATCAAAAGGATCATTCTATACCAAAAAATATCGGTAAATACATTTATAAAAATGTGAAAAAAAAAGGAAAAAAGAAAAAAAAACCCCATCAAATACCTCAAGCATACTAGTATTTGGGAAATTCCCTCTCATATCAAATTCATCCTTGTCAAATTCATCACTAAAAATATATAGAATCGTTAATAAGTAAATATTCAAACAATCAAGTTAAAAAAAAAAAAATAAAAAATATTAAACCTACCCCATCCACCCATCATCATCATCATCGCTCTCATCAGATGAACCAAATTTATCTGGTAAGTCATTTGTAATTTGTTGACATAAATACCGCGCAAACTTCAAAATTAAAAATATATGTTAATAAAATAACAAATTTTAAAAATAAGTAGAAAAAAAATTATAAAAATATACAAACTTGATCGCTCGCCATATCGCCACCATCGACAGCTTCAATGGTATCATCTTCTTCTTCCTCATCTTCGCTTTCTTCACGACTAGGAGACATACTATCGTGGTTACTTGGACGCGCACCACCTAATGCCGCACGATCACGATCTCTTGTCTCGCGTAATGTTTTGGATACATATTCTTGCCAATCTTCAGCCTCAATATATTCTACAATTTGCATACAACAAGGAAATTTTCAAAAAGGGAAATGAGTGAGTAAAAATTTAAAAAGTCAAATTATTTCACTTTATCAAAGTAATGAAGCCAACCTCTCACTTTCTCTCCTATTTCAACTGCATATCGATCTAATAATTTAACTACTTCTTCCGAGACAAAAGTTAAATGTCCCATATAACCTAATCTAACACCCTTGGGTTCTTCACTAATGATATAGAAAATAATAATTGATTAAATAAATTTGAAAAAAAAAGCTGACATGAACCGAAGAAATATGCGACATACACTTCGCTATCGTTTAGCCTTTGTGCGTTTGTAATACGTTTGGTAAGATGACCATCAGTAAAAACCTTTAAAGAGAGATTTACGTTTAGACTGTGAACAATTATTATATAATAATTAATAAATATTTACTGAAATCGCTAGTGCTTTATTATATCCAATATCCATTCTTCCATTAAATATTTGTGCAATCATGTCATAAACCACGGTGTGTAGAAAATTATTCCATTTAAAATTAAAGAATAAGTCCTTAAATAAGAAATAAAAAAAAAAATTTAATCATAAATTGAAAAAAAAAAAAAAAAATATTTATTTTATGAATCAAAAATATATATTACCAGACATGTTGGAATAATTTTGTGCTCAACAAATTTGGATTTTAATAAATCACCAACTGGTAGTTCAGATGATGCTGATCCATTGAAACTGTTAGTTTGTGTTTCATAATTTGTTGATTGTGGTGCTGGTGCTTCTTCAACAATTTCCATTAATATTGGTGAAGAAACAGGTTTTATGGTTTGTTCGGTAGTTAATTCTTCTTCTTGTTGCGAGTCTTTTTGCTTTGAATTTTCAATTCCTTGAATATCCATGGCGGTTGAAGATTCGTCAACTTTTTCTGCTTGATAATTTGCATCAGGACCATTTGAATTTGATGCTTGTTCATAATTATTGTAAGTATGTTTTAATTCAAAGAATCCATTGGTAGATGATGTATCATGTCGAATAGTATTAAGCAAGCTCATATTTGAACAATGTAACAATTCTGCAAAAAGTTCACAAATTCTGAATCTTTCAAATCCAAGGGGTACCATTTTACCTATTGTTGTATCGATTTGACCCGACTATTGGATTTAAACATTTAAATATTATAATAATAATTAAAAGAGAATGACTTTTAAAATAACAATACCACTGATTTAGGTTTATCCAATAAAGCTTTAAACTCTCCGATTCGATTAGCTAAGACTCTTAACATATCACTTAAATCGACCACTGGATGATGATGCTGTTGTTGTTGTTGAGGTGCCAAAGATAACATTGCCTCCTCATTATAGTCGCTATATTATCGGCGAATTAAATATATATAGTCAATAAGATTCTTGTTATATTTTTTAGATTATAAATGTAACAAAAAACTGTAAAAGAAGAGGAAAAAAAAATAATTTTTCTTTTCCGCATATACCTATTATTTTTTTGAATTATCTGAATAAATATGTTTACTCCATTAGTTAATGTAGAAGTTGAATTTGGAGCTACCGGATGAAGCATATAATCGACAAGTCGGGTTACTATTTTTTCGCTTTAATTATAATTTTTATTAATAAAAATCGTCATAAATCTTTTTTAACGATAAAAAATTTATTTATGCACACCTGAAAAGCGCTCTACTCAAAGCATTAGGGCCGATACCACCTTGTTCAGGATTAGTTGATTGAGAAATAGCAATAATATCATTAAGGACCTGTGCAGCGGTTGAATGTACCTAATAATTTTATAAAATATTTTTTTTTTAAATCGTGATTACAACAATTTACAAGAAAATGAACAAAGATATATTTTTTGTTCAATTACGTCAGGATCAATATTCGGATCCAGCCGAGAAATTAATTCTTCAATAAGCCCTTCAGAATTCAACCACTATATAATCCACGTTCAATAAAAATAAATAATCATTAAGATATGAAAATATTATATCAAAATAATCTCAATCCGATACAATTACCACTAACATCAATAACCCCAGCACCTTCTGGATACTCCTCAACACTAATTAATTTAAGCAATAAATCCATAATAGCTGAAGTATCCATATGAGTTAACATTTTTTTAATAACATTAGGGATTGATTGAATAAATTTGACCATCTTTTTTAAATTAAAAAAAATTAAATGAGTTAAAAAATGACTGAAAATCATTATAAAAAATGAATTGATCAATTAATATACCTCACTCATCTTTTTTTGCATGAATACCACATTAACTTTTGTAAAGTAGCTTGCTTGTAAAGGATTTAATGGTGGGGGACGGTCCAATAATTGCCAAAATGAATTAAGCAAATCTACATTGTCAATAACGGCCTCACAAATAGCCCAAATTTCACAAGATAGAACTTCGCACGCAACATAAGGATATCTTTTTTTTTATTTTAGAATTAATGAATTAATATATATATATATAATTCAAGAAAGGTTGGTTGTCTTGAACAGACAAATATAGATAAATTCATTACTTGAATCTTTGTTTATCATCCAAATCGTCCCTAGTTATATAATTCAGCAATTGTGACAGTCTTAAAGGCTCACGAAGACTGTAAAATTAAAAGAATTGTTAAGGATGATAACTAACTAATAATAAAATTATTTTTTTTTCCTTAGTAAAAAATGATTGATATCCAAATATCTCACATTAGTATGTTTATTTTTTTTCGTATCATTGTATTTAGATTCAACCTTAGAAAAGAACCTTCATTTTCAATCACTGAATCACATCATTATTATAAAAATATTAAACAATACATGATTACATGATGAAAATGTATGGTAATACAATAAAATAGTATCAAGAAAAGATATAATGTATATTATATATATATATAATTTTTTTTTTTAAAAAAAAAACTGTGAAAAATGTAACTATGTTTCAGATTACCTTTGGATAAAACACGTTAATCACCTACACCTACTATTAATTTCTTTTTTTTTTTTTTTTAAAAAAAAAAAAAAATTTACTTGCTAAAAAAAAATGAAAGTAAATATTTCTATAAAGTTATTTAAAAAAATGAGAAACATTAATTGGTTATTTTCCTTTTGATAAATAAAGATAGATAAGAAAGAATCATTTCATTGTTATCAAAGGAATAAAAAAACAAAAAAAAAAAAGAGAACGCGAGAAAAAAGAAACGGCTCAGTTTTTTTTTTGAACATTCAATTCAGTAACACAAAACTGATTAACAAATTTGGTTAACCTGCATAAACTGCATGAAGTTTAAATTTTTTTTAATTTCCGGCAGAATTAACGAATGATCGTAGTGGGAATCAAACAAGAAAAAACAAGGATAAAATTATATTCGAAGGTATATCATGCAAAGTACTTCCTCCCGATGTTCCCCGGGATGTACGAAGTATAAATATAAATCCAAATAAATTTATGTAAGTGCATGAATGATTATATAACGTCAATTATACATCATTGGGAAAGTATAATACATCATACATCACTAAGACATCAGTATGACGACTGTATTACAAATTTCAAATTTCGAAAAATCCTCCAACTAACAATTACCTACCATCAAATTATCAAATATCAAATAACTAACTTGTTTTCAAAATATAAATAAATAATCATCAACATTTTGAATTCTCAAAAAAAAACAATTTCCTTTTTTTTTCCAATAAAACAGATTTACAATCGACCTTTTTTTCTTTTGTAACAAATATAATACAATGTCAAGTTTTAACAGACGTAATCAAGAAAGAACTCACGAAGGTATAATTAAAAATAAAAATAAATTAAAAACTCATCCTTAAGAATGAATTTATAATTTTTTTTTTTTTTTAATTGATTTTAATACCATATTAGGACAATAATATGTATAACAAGATTCAAGAAGAACAATATTGTTGTGTCAAAAGGTTGTGAAACACTAATTAGAAAAAAAAAAAAAAAAAAATGTAATTATGTCATTTTATTTATTATTATTCTTATTAAATAGGATCGAAGTATGGAGGCCCGTATAGAATCTGCTCGTAAAGCCTCAGATATCCATAAAAAACGTACGGGTAGAGCCCTTCGTATTACTGCAGAAGACGTTAGAAACGAAGAGATGTATCAAGAAATTGATCCCGATGAAGAAGCTAAATTAGACAAATTTCATCGTGAAGTAATTGGGGAAAATCGCTAAAATCGCCAATTTGATAATAATAAAATAAAAAGAAAAAAAAGAGAGAGATGGCGAATTATTATTTGAAGGATGGGATATTCTTTAAAAATATAACAACTTTTTCTTTCTTTGAAATTTTGTTAATTTTGTTTTTTTTAGCAAATCTAAATTTTTTTTGGCAATGTAAAAAAATATTGTTAATTAATAATAACCCTGTCAAATAAATCCAGAAAATATTAATACACAGAATATATGAAAATAAATTGTAAATGTTACACGATTTTATTTATTTATTTATTTATTTAGAAATTATCACGTGGGTAAAAATATAAAATATTTACATAAAAAGTAACTAATTAAAAATGCAACATGAAGTAAAGTAAATATGTAAATAGTTAATTTTAATACTTCTATTTTACCACAACAAGGCTTACTTTGGCAAATATAAACAAATTTGGTAAATGAAAATATGCTCGAAAAGTTAAAGGGCGTCAAATAATAATTATTTAATCTCATGATAAAAAATTAACTTCAACAGTTTCATTGTTATTCCGATTTTTTGTTAGTACAGTTTCTAGATTTATTATTACCCCACATTTAATATGCAAAAATGAATTAATTTTGTTTCTTGATCACAAGAAAATAATTTTAAAAAGAAAGTAAAAATAGTAAGAAAGAACGTGTCATTGTCTCCTGCATTATAAATTAAAAGAAAGAAAAATCATTGAAAACAATAAGAAAAGTATTTTGTCTATATTGACATCATTTTACATTTGACTTTTACTCTCCTTCATTCGACATCCCGTGGTGTGGCATGGATCATCTTTTTTGGTACTCATTATATTTCATAAATAATACCCCCAAAAAATGGCACGTTTTTTGATCATCTTTCTTTTTCTCCTCTTTTTACTCTCATTCTATATATTAAATAAGAAAGATTTTCTCTTACCCAATCAAATTTGACGTCAGTAATAAAAAAAAAAAAATTTTTTTTTTTCTTTTTTCTTTTTTCTTTTTTCCCTTCCAATAGGTTTTCTTATGCAACTGCAGAGTATTATCATGCATTATTTCATCTATTTAAACCGTTTTTCTTTCCTTTAGTTTTTAAAACGTAAGTCCGAATGTAAGAACATAAGCGAGGCGTTCTCCCCACAGAGAATATTGGCTTACCATTAAATAAAATGCATGTCCAGCACTAAATATTCATACAACTCACAGACTGACATACCTTAAGTCAGATGGGTTGTAACTATGTCAAATGGGTTAAAACCTGGTTTTTTTTTAAAATATTTCACCAAAACGGTCCGTTCGCATAATAACAAATCGGTGAGAAGAAAAAAAATTTATGAAATTGTGGGGGAGACCAAAAAGAAAAAGGAAATGAAATGTGTAATAATGTATTAACTCTGTATGCTAGCGGCAGCTTAACATATATGTAAATACTAAGCTTGTAAATATGGCTTATTATAACAACATTTATATGGCTTACTCATACAATATGTAATTTAGTTTATTACAGTAATATGAGTTAATTGTCACTGCATGCACCCCTTGAAACTTTGACATGACATTTAAACACCGCATTCTTTATTTAACTTGTTAACCCTATCTCTAAAAACACATTTTCCCCAAATAAAAGATCGTTTTGAGTAACGTTTCATTTATCCAAGCTGATCGAGTGGCTTAGCAGCCTGTTGACAGCTTAAACAACCCATTGTTGATTGAATATCGTGAAATTATCCGATTTTGGAAAATTTCCTTTTTCTCATTTTATTTTAAAAGTAATTTTGTTCAATGAAACATTCTTGATTGGGTAAACCTTAAAAAAAATCTTATAAATATATATATATATATACCATATTTATTATGTTATATATGTATACTATATATATATATATATGTATTTATGTATATATAATTATATATTACATATTACATATATTACGTACATTTTATTATATTATTACATTATATATATATAATTTTTTTAATATATGAATTACATGAATTACATGGGTTGATGTAAAAGATTTTGACAGGTTTTAAAACAAAAAAACAAAACAAAAACAAAATAAAAACAAAATAAAAATAAAATAAAAATAAAATAAAAATAAAATAATTAATTTTTTTTTTTTAAAAAATTTTTTAAAATAAAAAAAAAAATCAAAAATATTAATAATCATAAAATAATTAATTTTTAATATTTAAATAAATTTTGTAATGTTTTTTTTTTAAATGACAAACAACATAAAGTTCAAGAAAAATTCCGCGTTTTAGGTGTACAACAAATAATTTTTGGCGGGAAAACGTGGTTATTTAATACAAATATCCTTTCTCTGAAAGGTTTAGTGTGAATATAAATCATTATTTATTATAACAACTCATTTCCATTTTAAACATCTTTCTATAAGGTATCACAAAATTTCTAGAACAATGACGAAATTTATTAAAGATTTAAAATCATGCAGGGGTTAATGAAAATGATGATAAGTTTGACCAACTACTTACCAGAAAGTGTTAAGATTCATAATAAGATAAATCTGGTTGGTTATAATATAAATTGAAAAAGAATGAAATACACATGAGAACATGACACAAAAAAATTACATTATTATTATTTATTATTATTATTTCTTTGTTTCAAAAATATTATATAATTAAACATCCGATAATCAAACTTATCGGAAATTGAATTTTATTTGAACCCTTTAAAGTTTATAATGATTGATATATCGGGGTGTGAATCATGCACCACGAGGGAAAACCAATATTAATTAACGCCTAATTTAATATTTTTTTTTTCGGATCTTCGGATATTTCAAATTCATTAACCTTAAGTGACATAATCAGTTATGTAATGTGATAGAACAATCTGACATTACTTTAAATAAATCCCGATCGTATCGAGTTATTAATTGTCCGCGCGTGTTTTTGTTAAAATAATATATACACGACATGTAGACAGGCGCGTGAGAGATATATAAAAATATACATATATATAATTTGATTCATTTGTTTGTTCATTTTTGTATATGCGTGAATATGTTAACGTGTGCATGTATTTGCATTTTGTATAGTAGTTCAATGAAATCTGTCAAAAATGAATATTTATACAAATAGAAATGCAAAAAAATCGAACTAACGTAATCAATCCAAGGAAATTTGTTTGTAATATTATGTAATATGTTGTGAGATTACTTTTTTAAAACCACTTGTAATTAATTTTGATATATTTAAATTATAATTGATAAAAAAAAAATTTTTTTCTTATGTAATTGTTTATTATTTTATTATAGTTATTTATTTATTATTAAAATGTTACATTTTTTTTTTTATTTTTTTTTCTTACATATTCCAGGCATCCATTGATTTTCTTAAAAACCAAGTCACATGATTATATAATAATAATAATATTTATTAGGTTAGTCCCGAATGAAAAAAAAAATTTTTTTTTTTTTTTTTTTTTTTAATAGGATAAATATCGGTAAAATCCGGGTGATTTAATGATGCAAAAAGGACGATTTCCCGGACCAGATAATTAATGAAAATTTCAATAGTTTGGTTAGCTTATAAAAAAAATTTGTTACACTAGTGACATTATATATATTTTGAACCAATTATCAATTAAAAAGAAAATATCTTCATCCTCATCCTGAGATTGGTAAGCAAATGTAAGCAGTTTTTTTCGGGATGTCTAGTCGGTCTAGATCAGCAGCAGCTGTGTGATATATATATATACAATAATATAATATAAATTCTATATTATTATTTAAATAATAATTGTTAACTTTCGATAAAACAACCAAAAAAAAAAAATTTTTTTTTTTTTTTTTTTTTGATATATAATCCCTGGAATAATTTTTTTTATGACTTTCTTCGTTGATTTTACTGTTCAGTTCTCTCTCGTTCATCGCTTCTTGTGTGTGCTAAACAGTAACGTTAACGACCTCAAAGTTCCTTTACTTTTAACCATCATACATCTACATCTATATTTTTTAACTTTGTAACTTTGATTGTTCATCGTTGACGTTTTTGTTTCATTATTGTTTCTTTAAACGTTTGCATATATTTGTAGACAAGACGTTTGGTTTTAATTTTTTTTCCTCCCTTTTTAAAAAAAAAATTATCTCACTTTTAATACCTTTCCTTTTTTTTTAACGCCTCTAATATTCTATCATCTTTCTACTCTTCCCTAAAATTTCTACAACCAATAATCGATACTGTTATCTTTCACACACAAGTATAAATCCGATTTTACGTTTGGTTTGTTTTTTTTTTATTAAAAAAATAAAAAAAAAAAAATTTTTCATTTAAATTACACGAACATTCAATTACCAAAAACTTTCTTCATGGATATCAAAACACTTTTAAATACCAATGATGAATTTCGTGGGCCTACTAGTCCAACTCCAAGCATTACGAGCGAATCAAATACTGATTCGGAACCGATCGTAGACAATGACCGTCCATATGAATGTTCTTGGAATGCTTGTGGGAAAGCTTTTTCACGTAGATCAGATCTTGCCCGACATCGACGAATACATACCGGAGAACGTCCTTATCGATGTGAATGGCAAGGTTGTGGTAAACAATTTATACAACGTTCTGCTTTAACAGTTCATTACCGAACTCACACTGGTGAACGACCTCACATCTGCGAATACCCCAACTGTAGCAAGTCATTTAGTGACGTAAGTTTTAAATAAAACCATATATATACATATTAAATATATTATATATAAACATATAAATATTATATAAATAATATATAATATATAATATATAATATATAATATATATATATATATATGTATGTATGTATATGTATATACATTCATCATTCATTTATTTCACTACTTTTTTTCTTTTTTTTTTTCATTCATTGACCAATTTCAATTTATAAATTCATCATCAATCTTTAGTCTTCATCATTAGCTAGACATAGAAGAACTCATACCGGGAAAAGACCTTATGTTTGTTCACATTCAGGATGCGGAAAAACCTTTACAAGACGTACTACTCTTACTAGACACCAAAGATCTCATGATCCTCACTGGAAGGAGTATAATACGTATGTAATATTTATTCTTGAATGAAAAATTTTATTTATTGTAACGAATGAATATGTTGTAACCTATTTTATTTTATTTTATTTTTCTCCCTTATTATTCTTTTGCCATTGTTTTTGGTGACACCGCATATTATCTTTGAAACTATTTTTTTTTTTATTCCAACTTTTTTGATT